CTGTTATGAAGATGTTGCATTGATTTGCTTTTTCCCTGAATTTTTTGGGGATTAGTTACTACATCGCAGCACCACTATCACTTTGCTGTAATTGTTTACCGGAGGTGTTCAGATTTACAGTCAATCAGATGACTGAGTTCATTGTTAAAGGGAAGAGTCAGATGCCGGCCTCTGGAGTTGATTGGTGGGAAGCTGTAAATCCACTTATGAAGCTTGGATTGCTCCATTGGATTGGTGCAGCTATATTTTTTTGGGGTTGGATTCATCAACGCCGATGTCATGTAATTCTTGTAAGTCCCTCATGCTACTTTCAGAGCTGTATAATTATGAATACATATCGGGTGAATCTTTGTGCTAGTTTAAAGGAAGTTCTCTACAAATGGTTAAGTAGAATGGAACTAGTTTACACTCCATCGTCTTTATCAGGGTTCATTGAGGTCACGCCCGGGAGAAATTGACAAGTATGTAATTCCCCGTGGAGATTGGTTTGAAATTGTTTCATCACCACACTACCTGGCTGAGATTGTGAGACTCCTCCCCTTTTCAAACGATCTTCCATTTTAATGATTGGTACCAATTTTTGATCATCTTGTCTTATTAATGACTAACGATGCTGGTTTCTTGTCACAAATTTAGGTCATATATGTTGGACTGCTGATTGCCAGTGGAGGAGATCTGACTGTGTGGTTACCATTGGGATTTGTGGTATTTTCCCATTCTGTACAATGAGAAAATATTTGATAGCTCTTGTAATTGCTAGTCCCAAGTGCTTGGTTTTGATTTTTCCATGGGAACTGAAATTTTGTCTTGGGTTGTGACAGGTAGCAAACCTGGCATTTGCAGCAGCAGAAACACATAGGTGGTATCACAGCAAATTTGACAATTACCCTAGGAATCGTCGTGCTATAATCCCCTACGTTTATTAGTGTAGATTATGATAAATCGCCACAACGTTGTTGGGCAAATACTGCTAAGCTCTAAGAATATCAGGCATACATGGAATAAAAATATTCCCCCATGGGGATTAAAGTGAAACTAAAATATGCAATGCTATCTGGAGTTTGGTTTATTCTCTGTAATTGTGAGGACAGTATGTTCAATGAAATGGATGACTTGTGGACAGATGTGAAAAAGTTTTATTAAGATAATACCATTGCAAATCAAAGTTCATGTCTAAACTCTTTATTCCTCAAATAAGGTAATGTCTCCCCATGCAGATACGCCATCCCTCAAACAAACTCGACAGATCTCCATAGCTCCACTTCTCTTATTACAGACAGAATGATACCGGTAACTCTTACCTAAGCATACACGTCTATGCCCCAAAGCTTGGTAGGGATGTTGGTTCGATACTTCCTGTCAATACCTTTAATAACCTCCATGTCTTCCTTAGTCAGTTCAAAGTCGAAAACCTGGAAATTCTCTTGCAACCTCTTATTTTTTGATGTCTTTGGGATTATAACAGTGTTGCGCTGGATACCCCAACGAAGAACAATCTGAGCCACACTTTTTTTATATTTATTGGCAAGTCCCTGACATACACGTTAAAATATGAATATCGGAATGGTTAAATGCCTACAAATGATGGAAGTGGGAAATGATCTGAATTGGAGGAAGAGTGACTTACTTGGAGGATTGGATCATCCAAGCATGACACTGAACCAAACCATTCAGTGTTGGCTGTGGAACCGCCTAAAGGAGTATGTGCTGTAACACAGATCCCATGCTTCTGGCAGAATTTGACAAGAGACTCGCGTTGGAAATAGGGATGGGTTTCGATCTGATTTACTGCAGGCTTCACTTTGGAGTAAGCTAAACAATCTCTGGTTAGAAAGATGTCATAGTTGCTGCAAAACAGGTTTCTAATCAGAATATCATTCCAAAATGTAACAGACTACCAGAAATACACTTTGAACTGTGGACAAAAAGGGTGTTGCATGCATTAATGCTTAAAATACAAATGTAGCTGAGAGTTGATTTAACAAAATTCTTAAAACAATGCAAATTTCTACAGCAACAAGACTGGCAAAATTTATTGATACTCTAGCAATTTCAAATCATAAAGGGGCATAAAAAGATGGTAAGATCAGGCAACCATTTGGGATCCTCTAATCAAATTCAACTCCTTCAGAGAAGATTTACAAATTACAAGCATCCACAAGTTAACTACTCTTATTCATCACATGAACAAATATAGAAGAGAGTCAATCACATCGCGTGGACTCTAATAAGAAAAACAGTCTATTCTACATCTATATCACCATTGATGCCACGGTTAAACAAGCCAGAATAATGCTATCATATTAAATGAATGAAATATAAGTGCATGATCATTTGGATTGCCTGCGCACCTGATGCCAATGCTGCGAACTAAACCCTTGGAAACCAGATCTTCCATAGAATGCCATGTAGTCTCCAATGGAATACTGGTGTCAATGTCCAGTACTCCATCCTCATCCAAAGCAGTGTCAGTTATACCAACTCCTACATGCATGCATAGTCAACAAAAGCTCAGCTCAGAGAATCAGACAAAAGTATCAGCTTCCTAATTGCTTTTAGATGGCAAAAGACTACCATCATCTAATAGTTTTTATCATATCAAGTTCATCCTATTTTTCTGACAAACATTTACTCAGCAATTCAGTTTTGAACTACTCTAAATAATTGGTGTGGATAGTGTTCTAGTAAAGAATTAATTTCTGCTTTTGTCAGCCAACATTTCTGTATGATCCTCATCCCCTCAATAAAAATGTATAATAGTCAATAGAATGGTATGAATTACTGTATGTTGGGAATATAGATAAATGGTTGAAAAGGCAGGCAGGAGTCACCAGTGTGCTTTGTGGCTACAGGAAAGTGAACGAGATACAGATCCAGATATTCCAGCTGAAGCTTCTTAAGGCTGTCTTTACATGCCTCAAGAACATGTCCATGATCAGAATTCCAGAGCTGCAAGGACAAAGGAAAAATGGAAAGCAATATCTGTCAACTTGTCTACACAAACATCAGGTAAACACTTGATACAAAAGGGTCAAAGACAAACAGAAGCAGCTAAATTTGAAGCAAAACTAGCCTTAGTGGTAATGAAGAGATCCTCTCTCTTCACAAGCCCAGTCCGGAATGCATCTGTTAGTGCCTCCCCAACTTCAGCTTCATTCCTGTAGACGGCTGCAAGACACATTACATGCCTTATAAGCAACATCAAGAGAACAAGTATTCCACTACCGACTCAAAACAAAATTATCAAAGATTTTCAGTGAGAAAGGAGGGTGCTTTTAGAATGAAAAAAAAACCCACGAAGCAGCAAGGAAACCATCAAATGTGGGTTATAAGCTGGTTCAATTACTAGTTAGGATACTCGGAGAATAAAACGAAGAACAGAATTTGTGTACCAGCGCAGTCGAAATGGCGATAACCGATCTTGATGGAGTTGATGATGAGGTCTCTCACGTCTTTCCCTTCCATACGCCACACGCCGAGACCGATAATCGGCATCTTGAATCCACTGTTGAGCGTTATCGCCATTTTCCTTTGACCTTAGCTTCTGCTTAACAGCTCGAAGAAGACGATGCCACTGAAGTCTGTAGAGGAGAACTTATATAGCACAGGGTACATCCGGATGCCTCCCCCCGCGTGATTTTTTGAAGGTAAAGATAATGTTATGATTCCCGGTTTCCGAAAAAGGAAAAAAGAAAAACAAAATCGAAATTGGGGCCGTCGATTTGTAAAATATTTACAAAAGGTCTTGAAATCTTAAATTATTTCAAATTAGTACCCATAATTAGGGCTGGGCACAGTTTAGTTTTGGTTTAGCTGAAATTAATATTTAAATTTTTTTTTTCATTTTATAGTAATCAAAATTGAAAAAGAAAATGTTTATGAAATTTTAATTTAGTGACTGAAATAAATGATTTTAATATATTAGTCATTAATTATAACCAAGTGCTCAAAATCAAAACTATTAGGAATGTGGAACATGAAGTGTAAGTGTGTAACAATGGCTAATCGTGGTAAAGCAATTGCGGGGAAAGTAGAATTGTGAAATAGAGATTTTTGCAGGAACAAGGATGCCATAGGAATAGTAATGCAGGTCAGGGTAAAGTTGTCATTGTAGGGACTAATTTGAGATAATTTAAGATTTCAAGACTTTTATAGAAATATTTTTCAAATCTGGGAAGGGGCTTCGCATTCATGCCAAGAAACCGCTCCAATTTGTAACTATTTTGGGAAACCACCCTTTTTAGGAATTATCCTAATTTCCTTTATAAAATTTTCAATTAAAATTTTTTAATTAAATTAGTAAATATCTACAATATTATGGTTTGATAAAGTAAAAAACTAATCATAATTATTAAATGAAATATAAATATTAAATTACAATATCACATATTATTATAAGTTTATTGTTATGATATGACATTGAATTAATAAAATATGATTTTAAATAAATAAATACAAACAATATTATAAATAAACTTTTAAATGAAAAAAGCCGATTAGATAACATATAAATTGTTGTAAGTTTAGAATATCACCTAATATTATTATTATACCATTTTTATAAAAAAAAAAGGTTAAATGTCAATTTGGTTCCTTAACTTTAAAGTTTTGCACAATTCCCGTCCTTCAACATTTTTATGCATTTTTTGGTCCCTCAACTGTGAAAAAAAGCACTCCTTTAGTTCTTCTATCGATTAATTTATTAAATTTATTTAAATATGTATATTTTTAATTCTCAAATTTTAAGTCTAAAGACAAAA